TTCGCTGGGGAGGCTGTAAGTTTGTCGAGCTTTGAAATATATTAGGCCTAGTTTTTAGAGTGGAATAGATAGTTTTCGATAGGCCTGAATTTAGCGAAAGTTACCTCCCGTTGGCCGCCATATTGGAGGTCGACTCAGTGATTTTCCCTCTTTGTCCAAATTTAAGAAAATATAGCAGAAATATTTGGTGGAAAATCGTTATCAAATAATTTTTTTTTAAATAAAAGAGGCTTCCAAAAATTTATATACTTCAGAAAAAAAATGATTTTTAATTCAAAATAGCAAATATAAAAATTTTTAAATTGGTTGAACAATGAAGGAATATGAGCATTTGGACCTCCAGTATGGGCGGCCAACGGGAAGTAACTCTTGGTCAATCGAAAACTATCTATATGGGAATGTAAGTTTTATTTTGTCACTGTTATCATGGTTTTAGGCTAGATGGATCAACTACACAAAGATGCCCTACGACGTACGCGGGTGGCGCTGGTCAAAGATTTGGATGTGGATCACATTTGCGATGAAGTTTTGGCCAAGGATATTTTTACACAACTGATGATGGAATACGTTATGGTGAGTAGATTCTCGAGAAGGCCTTGCACAGTTTAACTTTAACAGGTTGGGACCAATCGCCCAAATGGGATATAAGCATGATAAGGGGACGACCATTTGATCCTGAGGGGGGGGGGGCGCTGGCAAATTTTTTTGAGACGGATTATTTATTTTCATGCCTATCGAGGACAGATTATTTATTTTCAAGATTATCAAGGACAGATTATTTATTTTCTTCTATATTGTCTTACCGTACCTTGATCAATCGATTTTAAAAGACTGATCATTTCATGTTCGGATACAGGATTTGGGGAGGGGACAGGTATAACTTTGTTTAGGCAAGAGGTCTGGGGCTGCCGTAAGGGCCCCAGTGGGTCCTGGGCGAAGCTCTGATGGAAGCCAAGGGAGTACACCCCCCATCCCCGAAGCTCTTGGGGTTTCGTGTATTTTAAGAGTAAAACCAGGCACTATTATAGTGGTATTGGTTATTATGAACCAAAGTATGACATAATTAATACTGGTTAACCGTACTTTGAATGAAGTAAGTTCAGGGAGCAAAGCCACCTGAACCTCTTGAGTTTTTCAATATGTATATTAAGAGTAAAACTTTTGAAGGAATTGGTTAGATGTGTACCAAAGTATGACATTATTAAGTCATATCATACTTTGAATGAAAAGGGCCGGCCCAGGGGGGCGAAGCCCCCTGAAGCTCTTGGGTTTTTGTGTATTTTAAGAGTAAAACTAGGCACAAAAATATTGGTATTTGTCCCTAGTGTTGTCACGATGATCGATTTATAATCGATGATCGGTCGGAAAGGCTGTCGATTTTAGACAATCGATTGGAGATTTTAACAATCGATTAATCGGTATATTTCAGCTCATATTTTTTTTTTAACAGTTTTCTCACTTTTATTTCAAGAACAGGCTCTTGTTATCAAATTATATATCTTTCAAGAGTTGTCCTTTACTATTTTAAATTACATGTACTTAAAATCTGTTTAAAATAAATCAAAAGATAATGATACTTGTATTTCTAGACTGAAGAAACTAAACTACTTGTATAAATGAAATATATAAGTTTTCAGTATTTGGGGGAATTCACTTGTCATTTCATACAGGATCACAAGAATTAAAATGCAATATTAAATGTCTTATAACAGTTTAAAAATTAATTCCATATATACATTTTAGATGATCATGTAAATTAAAACCTGATCTGTCAATGCTTGACTTTCCCAAGGCCAAGTAATTCCTAATCATGCAAAAATCTGTATTACTGAAATTGTTAACTGAACTGCATATATACTGTTTTTAGAATTTCAATTTGTACAATGCATCGATCTTTACTTACATTATTTAACAATAAAATTCTAAATTTTATAAAATCCAATGCCTATTTTATGCAAAGGGTTATCGATTCGATTAACGGCCGATGATCAGTTGGTTAGGGTCAACCGATGCTACCGATTAATCGATTATGATTTTCATCCGATTTGACAACACTAATTGTCCCAAAGTATGGCATTATTATTATTATTTGTATCATACTTTGAAATTTTAAGGGAGGGCCTGGGGTCGTACACATGTATGTCCCCCTTAAATCCGCCAGTGTAAATTTTGTATTAATTTATCAGGAAAGTATAATTATTCGACAAGAAAATTAACTTTTGTGGTGTATAAGAATTGGTTTGTATATTTAAAGTTATTCATCACACCTACTAAGTGCACATTGTCATGTTGATAAACTGACTTTAAAGTGTCCAGTCTGGTAATCTGATTTTAAATACTACTTGGTTCTAAAATGGCAAGCGAAGCGAGCCAAAAAAAAATTTGAAATGAAGACTTTTGAGATTAAATTACACGTAAATAAAAAAAGGTATTTTTACAATATTTAATTATCAGAAGTCAAGGTCAGATTATTTATTTTCTCTGTAGTGGAGGACATATTATTTATTTTCAACATTTGCAGGGACAGATTATTTATTTCCAAAAACTGCCCGGCCCCCCCCCCCCCCCCCTCAGAATCAAATGGTCGTCCCCTAATAGTCCGTTTGGGATATATAATGTCCCAAATTGGCAATAAAGGAGTATATATGATAAGAGTCAATTTTGGCCCCCTAAAAATCAACATTTTACTAGAATGACATTCAGATATTTTTAAGGTCAAGATCTAGTAAATTTTTTGGTGCTAGATCCATTATGACGTCATAATCAATTTCAACTTTCTTTTTCCCATACTTTACGGCTTTAGCAGAATTATGTAGAAAATAGGGTATTTTCAAGTCATTCAATTTGAAATCATATAATTATGAAAAGTAAACCGGATACCTATATTAAATTTGATATTGATTTAAAGAAGAGGCCATGAACATACTAATTATAGTTTTCTGAGACTGTAGGCAATCTGGATACTTTTCCTTTGCCGAATACGAAAAAAACTCCCATATTCATAACTGGTTTTCTTAATTTTTCATTGAAATTGACAGTTTAAAATACAGTTTTTCATCTTGTTTACCTACAAATTATGCCCCGAAACACCTTATTTGACCAAGCTAAAGTTGTAAAGCATCAATAAAGGAATTTATTTCTCAAGTTTGATAAATCTGTAGGCACCTTTCATTTACTAGATCTTGACCTTAATTGATATTTATTTTGACTTGATTTGTAGAAGAGATTAATTATTATATTAGAAATAATTCCATTATATTTTTCACTTTTATATCCACTCACCAGCAGTAAATAACATGAGAAGTAATGCTATTTTTGCAAAAAAGCCAAAAATATGCCTTTTTCTTGATGTTTTTTCTTATGCCGGGAAACATGGAGCGCAGTGTAGAACATACATAATTTTTCTGTCACTAATCAGTATTGGATAGATACATCTTTGGTAAAAATATAAATCTTTAATTGTTCTAGGCTGCGCTCTATATTTTCTGGAAGAAAAACTACTTGAAAATAAGCAGTTTTATACAAAATATGCTAAAATGGCGGGAAAACATGATTTTTATGATGTCATATTTCTAAAATGACAGCATTTTGATCAAAATGAAAATGACCAATAAAGGTCGCATATATAGCTGTACAAATTAAAGCTATATATAAAGTAAAATTAAGATATTCATTTTAAGGGGCCAATTGAGACACTTACCATATATCGCTCTTTACAGTGCAAAAATAGAAAATTTTTATTTTCGCTATAAATATCATAAATCTGCATCAGGACACTTAAAAAGGAATATCTTTTGGTTGACAAGTTTTCCAGGATGTCCATTATTTAGAAGATTGATCCCTCGGAATTTCCGTAACTTCTTGGGGATCAATCTAACAAACGGTAGGGTTGCAGAAAAACTTGCTTACCAAAAGTTATTCCTATTTAAGTGCCCTGATGCGGATTTATGATATTTATAGCCAAAATAATAATTTTCAATTTTTGCACTGTAAATTTATAGCCCATTTGGGATATTGTATCCCAAATGGACTATTATATCCCATTTGGGCGATTGGTCCCAACCTGTTTAAACGGTCTTAGTCCGACATATCTTACACAAAAAGCTGCAGAACTGTACAAGCCAAAAGCTGGACTGGTCCGACAAAACATTCGACTGTGTCAGACCAAATGTCTGACAGCGATTAAGAAATTTCGACACATCTGAAAAGAAAGAAAGGAAAGCGAGACAGGTTTAATATTGTAAAGCCTCATAATACTCATCATTTTAAAATTTGTATAATATTAGTATGTAAATCATAATTTCAGAAATAAGAAAAAATACTAAGATACAATTTAAAATTAACAATAAAAAAATAATTGAAAATCAACAGAATCAGTTTTTGGGGAAAATGCGATATTATACACCTCACTGAAATCAAAAGATTTTCCCAGAATTTGGTTTACTAACGAATATATTGCTGATTTTTTTCCCAAGTGTAATTACATTCTACTCTCTATTGTAGATGTCACACAATAAAACCCCAGTTGGTTCCCTTTAAACAATCAATAATTTTATGTAAATTTAAATCCAAAAATTTCAATTTCTATTGATGGAAATTAACTTCCAATTGCAATGCTAACTTCTGTAACGATATCCCCCCCCCCCCAATTTTAACATAATATCGGATTCATGCAAGACTTCAAAAATCATAATTCAGCTTTATATATGAACATCGAAAGTCTAAAATTATTTTAGTGGGTTCGCTTTTGGACAGATCTTTTCTCATTTTTGAGTTACTGTCTGCGTTTTGTGCAAGAAAAGAACAGACCTTAAAGAGCAAGAGCCATGTTTGGCCTTATTTGGCCCTGAGAATTTCTGAAAAATCAAAGCAGCTCAGTTTAGGTTGCAAATACAGTATTTATCACTTGGAATGTTGTTGACCACTTATCTATTAAATGTGACATAATTTCCCATCTACTCAATGCATTATGAAGACATAAATGCGTCATTTTTTTCTCATATCCTGTAAAATCCTTTGAAATGGCCTAAAGTTGAAGCATTTTTTTTAATATTTCATATAGAGCACATTCTCTGATCCAAAATATGCAAATACATAATGAAAGCTCTATTTCTGAAGATCAAAAAACTTGTTTTATTTTTTGGATCGTGGGCTATGCTCATAATTAATTCTTTGCTGAAGATAGTCAAATGCGCATGTTTACTGCAAATTTCAAGAACATTTCAATTTCTCAAACCTGTTTTCCAATATCTGGATTCTCAAAGCGAAATTTTATTATAGAAAATGAAAGCACTAAGTTTCTACCTTATTTTGATATATGAAATGAGAAAGAGGGTGATAGTTAATTTATATAATTACAGAGCCATTTTATGCATAAGATGGCTCTTGCTCTTTGGCTGCGTAACAAACTGTCAGAAGAAGATAAGAAAAATGCTGTCAGAAGGGTCAATCATGAACATCGAAAATTCACCAGCTTTTTGGGTTTCGCCCCCTGGACCCCCACCAGGGCTTTGCCCTGGACCTATTGGGGGCCTTAAGGTGGCCCCCAAACCCCCAGCCTATCCAGGCATCCACATCAAATGTACCCTGCTAAGCCCCTGGAGGTAGGCAGGAGAACAATGCTATTGTTCGCACTTCTTTCAGACTCTTGAAAACTGGAGCTCTTGATCTCTCAAAGTTTTTCCCCAGTCTCACGGACCTTGAGGTACTGAGATTTACCTGTATATAATACATGATATAAAATTGAAGTGCTAATGGGTTTTAAGTTTTTTTTACTGTTGTAACAGGCTGAGAGGACACGAATTGATAAAGTCCGCAGACTCCTGGATGACCTCGTTAGACGAGGACCCAATGCTTATCAGGCATTTCTTCAAGTTCTTAATGAAACTGGATATACATTCCTAGCGGACAAAATAATTCGAAGTGAGGAAATTTTACGAAGAGAGAAGGATCCCAGTACTTCTATGCCAATACAGGCAACTTCAGACCAAAACACACACTTTTCCAGTAGCAGTAGATTTTCTTCTTCAGTGGGAGCATTTCAACAAAAAGAGAAAGGTGTATTGAATTTCAATGCAAACAGGTCTCCAGATGTGCCAAGTAGTGTACCATCACATTCAGTCTCAGAGCCAGGTCTGTTGTCTAAAGCAGGAGGTTTGACAATAAATGAAAGGAATGCAGGTACATGTATAAATGTAGGAATATGGTATCAAAAAAAGATATATAGATTATACAAGCTGTATTTGTGCCAGTGTGTTTAACCTTTTACAGAAATGTATGGGCAGTAAGATTTAATTTCAAGTGAATATTATCTTGCATGGCCATTTCAGAGTCCATGCCATCTACACCCATGGACACAAATTCAATTGATGATGATTTAGACCTGGAGTCTGGACTTAGTCTTGGTACAAGCATGGAGACTGGGGAAGATCACATTGACACCAGTGAGGAGGAACAACTCTTGAGGGACAATGGCCCTGAAGAAACAAGTAAGAACTGCGAACGATAGTAGGCCTATTGTTCTCCCGCCTACCTCAAAGCCAATTTTCAAAAATTAATATATTCTATAAATTTTTAATATTTTTATAGGTAATTACAGTGGAGTCGCCAATTCTGGGTCTTCTCCAATTCCGGGTCACTCGCGTGTATTTTATGCCTAGTGTTAAAATTTAAGCGCAAAAAAAACTTAATGAATACACTGGTCATGAAGAACTGGTCGTTCTATATGTAATTAATTTCAAAAATTTGAATTTAATTTTTAAGAGAGCATCCGACAATCGAAATTCTGAAACGCACGCATTATAAAGACTTGCATGTTTCTGCTGCGGTGACAACCTACTTTCGTTTTTGTTCGCTGCAGAAAGGCTGATATAGACAGGGGCGTAGCAACAGGGGGAGGGGGGGGGGCTGGCCCCTCCAGTTTTTTTCCGAACCTTACTTATGCTATAGGAAATATTAATTGAAAGCCTGGTTGGCCCCCCACCTTAGACTTTTAGTGATATACCGAAAATGTAGTATTAAAATTGGTACTAAAAGTAGATGAAACTGAGAAAAAAAAGTTTACCACTACCCCCCCCCCCCCCCCCCCCCCCCCCCCCCCCCACCCCCTGCATGAATTGTTTTATTTTTCAACATCATAAAAATCGTGTACCGAAACGTACCATGAATATTACACGACCGTAAAGTCACATGACTCGGAAATGGAGAAAATGATTCGTAACTGGGGAAGCTAGGCCTTGCTGAAATACCTCTGTAAATATCGTTCTCGTGTAGCTACTTTGAAAACGAAAAGGTGTTTGGATGGCTCACTATTTGTTCTTTCAATACATGTATTGCATAAAATATAAATTGAACAGATTTGCAAAATATCAAAGAAACACCCCGACGTGACCCGGCATTGGCGACTTCACTGTATATGGATTTTCATAAAACATTTCTTACTTGGTAAAACAAGGAGAGATAACACTAAAATTTTTGTAAAACTTGTGTTTTTTCACTATAGAAATCAACAGAAAACAGAAAGTATTTTTAAAACATCTCTCCCCCCCTTCCCCTTTAACTTTGTGTGAAGCATGTGCATTGTAAAATACTATATAGAATCTCCCATGATTTCTTGTTGGGTATAATTTTTATCAAACAAATTGTGTTTTTTATTCCAGAGCCTTAGCAATTCAAGTCATATATCCTACTACAAATGATGGGATATTCTTTTTATTCTATGTTTATTCTTTATGATCAAAAACATTGTTTTTATATAGGACTCCACTTTATTTACCTTTATCACACTAACGCAAAAACCATTGTGATGTCACAACGGCACTTGGATATTCAAAAAATATCTATATGAGCTATATATATCCATGAGATAAAGGGGTATACATGGAAGAAATACTGAGCATTTGATTATGATATAATTTTATTTTTTTCAGTAAGAGAAAGTCAAGCACAACATCCCTCTGACGTTAATCATGAACCATATACAATGTATTACCCCTCAGCCAGCATGACCATGTGCAGCCCATACTTGTCAAGCTTCAGCCTGAAAAAAGTAAGTCTCCCTCAGAATCTTAAGAAGGCTGTATGGTTGTGGCCATTTTTAGACTATATTGATCACCTTTGGAAGAAGAGCTTCACTATCAAAAGGTACAAAAATGTTAAATTTAATAACTAAAATGTATGGAAATTTTTTGTTGACACCCCCCTCCTTAATTAGTGTGTATCACCATGTTGTCATAAAGTAACGATACATCAAATGAGACAACAGAATAACAATGACCACAGCATTGCAAGACAAATTCACTTAATTCATGAACATGCTGAAAGTTCATGGATTAATTAATGTAGCATTTTAAAATACAAATTACAAAGTACAGTATCAGAATATTGCACTATACAGTAAATCCTGTTAGTACCAACACGGATATAGCGAATTCACGGATATAGCGAAGTTTTTCTGGGTCCCTGGCATTAAATTCTTAACAAATCATTATAAAATTTTACGGTTATAATGAACTCTGATATAACGAATTTATGGATATAGCGAACTGATTTTGAGTTCTGTTGACGTTAAAAGTAATGAAATTTACATCTTTTATAATGAACTTTCAAAGATCTCAAAATTTGATCAATTGAACTGACTTTATTATCTATTGGAATTTGTAAATAAAATTCAATTCATAATAAAACCTTATAGTTATCAAAGGTATGTTTTGTTTCCTTCCTGTTTGCTTACCTAACATATTTGATAGTAATACATGCATATTGCAAATTCCCTATATGGTTATATAACATTTTTGAATAAGTTTTCCTATTATATCACAAATGTAATAAGTTTAGCTATAAACCCTGAAAAATGCCGAGTCACACCGGAAACAGTTATGTCCGGCCGGAAACAGTTATGTCAACCCTCGCCGGAAACAGTTATGTCATTATTTCGATCACGTTCACGTGTTTTTACGTTACGCATTTTAGTTCGGGTTCGAGATTTTATGACGTCGGATACTAAGCAAAAGTAAACAACACACCGTATTTTTTAACGTCAAGCAAGCATTTTTGGATTATTTGTGTACATTTTAACGATTTTGAATGATTTTAATTGTTCTTTTAATTTTAAAAATGCCATTTAACATATACCACATGGCTTCTCTGGCGACTATACCAGAATATTTGCCCCTCGGTGACAGGAAAGCCCTGGAGTGTTATGTCGCCCTCTGCCTTTGGCATTGGGTGACATAACACTCCAGGGCTTTCCTGTCACCTCGGGGCAAATATTCTGGTATGTCACCCTCGAAGCCATGTGATATATGTATAATATGAATTATAGGGATATAACGAATAACAGATACAGCAAATTCACAGGTCCCCATGACTTCTCTATAACAGAGTTTTACTGTATGATGTATTTTAAGAGTGCTTGATTAGAATGAATCAATAAATTCAGAATTTTCTTAGAATTATTGTATATGTGGATAATATTTAGCTCACCTGAGACAAAGGCTTAAATGAGCCTTTGTGATCAAAATTTGTCCTTTGTTTGTCATATTGTTGTTATTGCAAACTTTTACAGTTTCATCTTCTTCTCAAGAGCCACTGGACCAATTTCAATCAAATTTTGCACAGAGTAGGGTAAGGAGGTTGCAATTTTTTTCTAAGAAAAGGTCACACACTCTCTGACACTTTTCCTAGGAGAGTAAAAAAAGTTAAATTGTGTCTTTTAAAAATGCACTGGCCATTACAGCATCCTAGTTAGATGTAGCCCGCCCCCCTTCAAAAAAAATGGGGAGGGTTACATTATTGCAGCTTCATGGAGGGTAAAGCAGGACCATATGTGCAATCGAAGTTTTATATACGAGTATGAATAGAGAAAAATAAAAAAGCCATGATAATGAGTATTTTTATGGAAGCATCCTGAGGTAGTGTAGATTCTACAAATTTGTTCAAATCATGGCCCCAGAATGAATGTTTATGCCAGTTGGCCAATAAAAGTTTTACATTTATGTAAGTGAGCATTGTTGCCAGTGGGCCTCTTGTTTTACAATAACTATTTGCTGTCTGCCAGTTCTCTATGCATAGTCTCATTATTTTCAAAGGTTATCTATATTTTGTTCCATTAATAATTTTTTTAGTGCTACAAAATGGACACAAAACCAAGAGGCCTTGCTTTAATTATCAACAATAAACAGTTCAGGGGGAATGCCTACTACAATGTTCGTGAAGGCTCGGAGATTGACTGCCGCTGCCTAAAAGAACTGTTTAACAGCCTTGGTTTTACAGTTGTTGTAAAGGAAGATTTGGAAACTGAAGTGAGTTTTAAGTTTTAAGAGCAAAAGTCATAAATTATTTACACGTACACCATACTATCAAGAGTTTATAATAGTTTAATTCTTGTCATAATGCAATATATTAATGTAAAAAATAAAGGTTATATCATGAATCCTGTGTTATCTGCGTCACAGTGCACTTATGTCAAAAGTACATGTATATCTATCTGCTTGACATTGTATGTGAATTGTAGTCTATTTAATAACATTTTTGAGAAAAAGTCATCTCATTTAATTCTACACTTCAAAATTCTAGAAAAGTAATAAATGAATGACTTAAGCTACCCTTAGATTAGTCCTTGGTCAGAACAGCATGTACTGTGAAATCGCTAATTTTCGTTGTTTTCGAGGTGTAGAGAGACTCTAGAATTCATTACCATCACGATAATTATGCAAAATTTCAAATGCATTACTACTTCTTCAACCACAAAATCAAATCCCCACAAATCAATATTTCTTTTTCAAACCTCAAAAATACAACCCCATGAAAACATATGATTTAAAGGTACTTGGACACCGATTTGAAGTTAATATTTTTTCTATAATATTATGATTTATATATTTTAATAGCAGTTCACACAAAAATTAGATAAAAATCTTATTTCATTTTTAAGTTAGTAAAATTTGAATTTTTTTGGCGGGTTTGATTGACACATCCTTGCACTTTCACAAATTTTAATTTTATTCTTAATCCTTAGGAAAAGCATCGTCGGAAACCCACGGGTGATCTCGTCTTTACTTATCATCCGTGGGCAAACTAGCTGAAATATCGTCGTAAAATATGCTAATTTGTTGTTTTTAGTCGACCAATCAGAAAGTTTGAACTCTTCAAGTTTGAAAAATACGTTTATTACTTTGCTATTTATAGTAAATATTTTGACGCTCGGTAAAACGTGCAAAGTTTGATTTCAAACAGTGAAAGTCAATTTGTACAGGTCACTGACATTAATATCCGTAAGATATTATGAAGGAGTACCTCTTTCTAACTGCAAAATGCACCGGTGATTGGATTTATCAGCTGTGTTAACTACGGAATGAGTTTTTCGTGTTTTTGGCATTGCCGAATATGCATACGTAAGATGAAGTGTGATTCGTTGTTTCTCATCGCGAATATGTGATGGGGCCAATCAAATGATCCATGCATATTTAATTACATATGACGATTTTTCGGCAAGTTTGCCCACGGGTGATAAGTAAAGACGAGATCACCCATGAGTTTCCAACGATGTAGGAAAAGTGAATACTAAATAGATTATCAAAATTCTAACATCATATTTCTAAATATGGCAAATGTCAAACTTTCCACATCGTAATCATGGTAAAGTATAAGTATACATTTACAGTTAATACAAGTAATAGAGGGCATGTAAATTCAGATTTGATCACATCATTTGATGCTTGCTTGCATGAGTCCGATTAATTAAGCTAGGAAGAAGTATGCAGGAAAGTTGTCCCAAATTATAAATTGTTTTTAAAAATTTTCAATAAGGCCATAATAAAAATATTCCTAGATTCTCATCCCCGCCCGCCCCGATTTTATACCCCCGCCTCAATTTTTTTTTATTTCGGTTTTTCTTCGTCTTAATTTTGATCGGGATCGATATTAATCTACGTTTTAAATCCCGCGAAAGTCGACATGATTTTGACAGCTGAAAAGATGGTTAATTGCTGTAATACATGCGTATATATTTTAAACAAGGGTCATTGGTTGAAAAAGATTGGTGATGATGTGAAGTAAGAAATAATTGAACCTTTATTATGATTTTTATTTGGGTATTGTAGATAAAATTACACGGATTGACCAGGTCAATAAAAAATCTGCAAAATTGAAAAAATAAAAAATATAAAATAAAAGCCGCCCGCCCGCCTCGATTTTTAAAAAAATTCGGATGAGAATCTAGCAATTTATTTATTATGGCCTAAAGTTAATTCTTACTAGTATATATTTTCACTAAATTATGCAAGAATGTCAATCTGGAAGCCATTAATGCTCATGGGTGTTTTTTTCTTCAGGAAATGCTTAAACAATTGGAAGAATTTGCTAAGAATCCTCAACTTGATGTTGTGGACTGTATGGCTGTAGCTGTTCTGTCCCACGGGTCTGACCAGGAAATCATTTGTGGAGTGGATGGTTTTGGTGTGAAGGTGACAGATGATATACTGCCAATGTTTTTTGCCAAGAAGTGCCCAATGTTGCAGGCCAAACCAAAAATGTTTATCATCAATGCCTGTAGAGGGGGTACATTCATTTAGTTATTTTGCAAATTGTTTATAACAGGTTGGGAAATTTCCCTGTGAAGTGAGATTTCTCTACCTTAATTATATTTCGAAAAGAAACAGATCAAAAAGGATGTATGAAAATCAGAAAATGTGTAAAATCTTTACATGTAAAGGAAATTTATCACATGTACCGCAATACAGAAGAAATTGTATCCCATTCAATGTGCTTACCCCAGTACATAAATTCCTTTTTGATACCAGTAATGATACATTTCATTGTCTACAGCTGCTAAAATTCCAAAATAGGATTCAAACAGTTTAAGGTAGGAAATCTTAAGATTGCTGATGGCAAAGTTTTACACAGAAATACTGCAAGCGTATTATATTTAGCATTTACGATATTTGGCGGAAATTGAATTTTGTATAAGTAATAGCAAAGATTTGATTTATGGCATTTCTTCATTTCTTATTTATGTGTACCGGTATATGTGCAAGACATTTATAGTGTTGTATTTGATTTAGCGGTTGCTGCGTTTCGTCAGAGCTGCTAAAAAGAATACAAGTATTTAGGAATAATATGTTTTAATTTCTTCTTCTCAAGAACTACTGGGCCAGAAAAGCTGAAACTTATGTGAAAGCAATCTTTGGTAGTGTAGATTTTAATTATTGAAATCATGGCCCCCGATGGTAGGGTGGGGCCACAAAAGGGAATCAAAGTTTTACATAGAAATAGAACCATTTCCAGCTTAGTTTGGACTTTCAGTAAGGCGTTGCATTCTCGACGTTACATAATTAGCTTCTGAAAACAAAGCTTTCCTTCACCGTTGAAATATACATGGGATAGAAATTCGGGCAAATGTCAGTTAGTGTATCTCTCATTGGGCAAAGAGGTGGAGCTTAAGTCATTTCATCACTGTCAACAACAATTTAAAGTTCCTGATGTGATTAATTTCTTAATCAATGAGAATCTATTTGCCATTTGACAGACGCTAATTACGTAGCACTGAGAATGCCACACGTTACTGAGAGACGTGCAAACTAATCTGGAAATGGTTCTAATCTTAAAAAATCTTCTTCTCAATTAAGAACCACTGTGGCAGAAAAGTTTTAACTTGTACGGAAAGTTCCTAATGTAGTGTAAATTCTAAACTCTTCAAATCATGCTTCAGAAATCCTCTCTGATACGTTGTTTAGACAAGTTTTACAGCACAGTGTATATATCTGATTAAGCTGTAATATTTTTGTTTTGTTCTCTGTGATGTTTTCTTTTGAAGCAAGGGAAACAAAGAAATAAATTTCCCAACTAAATCTTTCTTTATCTATAATGATAGAAATTCAGTGTATAAATCTACAATCTTTTTCAGGAAAAGAGGGACAGAGAATCAGCATAAAGCCTCAGCAGATAAGGATAGGGGGAACACGTGTGAAGACGGACAAACTGCAAACTGATGGAGGAGACAATATGTCAACAAATATCAAACCTCAAGTTAATGATATGCAAGACATACTTCTGTCTTCATCAACCTTCCCAGGTATATTTAACATAATTAACTTATCTGTTACAAACTATATTTGTTTACATGGCTAGGTTGTAAGTTTTACATGCTTTACAAAGATGGTATTTTCTCCTTTTCTTTCACTATCTCATTTTGAAAAATTGTTGAGAAGAAATTAATTAAGTACCGGTAACCACTATTCTGTATGGTCATATAAAAAAAATTGTGCAGAATTTAATTTTGTTGATAATTGTTTACAACAAAATATAAGAAGTTTATAATTTCCAATGAATATTTTTCTTTACAAAGAATTTTATTATTTAAGTATACATGAAATACATGTATACAAAATATGAAAAAAAGTAATGATAAATTGTAAATGGATGACCAGATTTTCTTAGCTTGAGGTCCATTAATTTAGTAGATTGACCTGATTGTTCTTTCAGGTTACGCGTCTTACAGGGACACAGTAGAAGGAAGCTGGTTTATCCAGGAGCTGGTCGGTGTTTTCAGGGAGCAGAGTGACACAGAACATGTAATGGATATGCTGACAGAGGTAAATGACAGAATCTTATTTGTTCAACATTAAATTAATATATATCGTCCATGATTTGTTGTTGGATATGATTTTTAATCCAACGAATTGTATGTATTTCACATCCCTGGGTCATGGCTCGGGGCTGAAAGAACACACAATGAGTTTGATAAAATCATATCCAACCACAAATTAATGGAGATTCTTTTTATTCCACGTTTCATACATTATTATCAGTTTTACACCATTTTTAGCTACCTGAGCCAAGGGCTCAAGTGAGATTTTCTGATCAAAATTTGTCCGTTGTCTGTCGTCGTTGTTGTTGTTGTAAACCTTTTAACATTTTCATCTTCTTCTCAAGAACCACTGGGCCAATTTCAACCAAACTTGCCACAAAATAATAGTATCCTTAGGTGAAGGGAATTCTAATATATTCATATGAAGGGCCATGCCCTCTCCCAAGGGGAGATATTTATGAATTAATGAAAAATTTATGGTATCTTTTAAAAATCTTCTTCTCAAGAACCATTGGGGTAGGAATGATGAAACTCATGTGGAATTATCCTCAGGTAGTGTAGATTCAAGTTTGTTCAAACCATGACCCCTGGGCAGTACTAATAGGAATCTGTAATTTTGCTATGATTTTTACCAGATTTTCGAAATTCTGGACCACTTGGTCAAGTGTTCTGGTGCTGGACAGGCCTCTGTTAATTTGTATTCTACTGAGAGAAATTATTCCCCTTTGCTTTTCACCATTGATAATTAATCACTTTAATTAATGTTATGGAAAGGTCAATTGAATAATAAAACATATAACAAGTTTTATAAAATTGTATTATACAAAAATACTTTCATACTTTTTAGTGGTCAGGTAAATTTGTAAATAATAGATAATTTCATTTAAAGAGGTAAAACTACCTTGTAAACTTTGTCAGAATGGTAAAAATGCAGGAAGGTTATAGCATGTAGTTGGTCATACAGGATTTGTAGCCTCTAGTTATATCTAACAAAACCCTCATGGGTTTAAAGAGCAAGGTTTCTGTTGCTGAAATTTGTGAAGTAAATAGATCTGTTACAAGATTTGTTACAGCAAGGGTACTAAACTTATTATTTTTAATCCCTAATTATCCTACAATATAAACTCACCTATAAGTGCTTTTTGGGGGAGTTAAACTTTAGTCCAAAACTCATCTGACTTATAAGCAGGTTATAAAAGATTGTTATTTTAGATGGTCAATCCCTCTAAATAAGATATAAATTTCAGTTGAATTATAGGCAGACAAACATATGTGCGAGTATATACAGTATTTCTTTTGCTTTTATGCAACAAAGCTTCATCTGTCAGTTTCAGCCATACCAACAAAGATCACTATTCAAAACACTTAAGCAGCGACTAAAACTATCAAAGCAATGGTAATGAGCATGACATTTTTTAGCTCTACTGGTCAGAGACCAGAAGAGCTTATGCGATAGTAAGGTGTCCGTCGTCCGTCCATCTGTCTGTCTGTCTGTCTGTCCGTCTGTCTGTAAACAATTTTTCAAAACGCGACTCCGCCTACAGTTTTGATCTAATTTCAATATAACTTGGCACACAAGTAGACTACACTAAGATACATGAAATAGTGCATCGGTTTGTGATTTCGATGAACGATGTTGCCATGGTAACTAAAAATATAATTTTCTGTGAAATTTCTTTTAAACGCTACTCCTTCTACAGTTTTGGTCTGATTTCAGTATAACTTGGCACACAAGTAGACTACACTAAGATACATGAAATAGTGCATTGGTTTTTGATTTTGATGAATGATGTTGCCATGGTTACTAAAAATAGAATTTTCTGTTAAATTTCTTTAAAACGCTACTCCTCCTACAGTTGTGATCTGATTTCAATATAAATTGGCACACAAGTAGACTACACTAAGATACATAAAATAGTGCATTGGTTTTTGATTTCGATGAACGGTGTTGCCATGGTTACTAAAAATAGAATTTTCTGTGAAATTTCTTTAAAACGCTACTCCTCCTACAGTTGTGATCTGATTTCAGTATAACTTGGCACACAAGTAGATTACACTAAGATACATAAAATAGTGCATCGGTTTTTGATTTCGATGAACGTTTTTGCCATGGTTACTAAAAATAGAATTTTCTGTGAAATTTCTTTAAAACGCTACTCCTCCTACAGTTGTTATCTGATTTCAATATAACTTGGCACACAAGTAGACTACACTAAGATACATAAAATAGTGCATCAGTTTTTGATTTTGATGAATGTTGTTGCCATGTTTAATTAAAAAATAAAATTTTCAATTAAATTCCTTTTAAATGCTACTCCTTCTACAGTTTTGGTCTGAGGGCAATGGTTTCTTTTTTCATACTTTGTTATAAGTACAAACCAATAGAGCTACAGTCTCAACAGAGACTTCTGGTTTTTACATGTATTATAGTGCATTTTGTGTTTTTGTTTACATCATTGCAGTTGAAATTTATTTGAATTATAACAGTGGCCATATTTTTACATTTTAAAATTAAACGTGGAACACTGCTCACAATGCGGCCTCTTTTTACAGTACCGACCGGACACAACCTAACAGAAAGCGAACCCGGAGCGGACCCCGGGTTCGCTCTTGGGTCCGCTCCGGGTTCGCTCGGGGTCCGCTAAGGCTGACCCCGCGCGAACCTGGAGCGGACCCAAAGCGAACCCGTAGCGGACCCAAAGCGAACCCGAAGCGGACCCAGAGAGCGAACCCCAAATTAGGTAGCGGTCCCAGAGAGCGAACGCAGGTTCGGTATTTCTTTACAGAGCTGTCAATCAGGATTAGCGATTAACCAATCAGCGCATCAACCAATCAAAATAGCATATTAATCAGACGATTGGGATATAAGATCGAGCGTGTTGATTTAATTCGATATAAATGCAAACCCTGTACATTACAAGCAAAACGTGTGAATGTGCTGTGTAAATCTATTATGATTATAAAAATATTATTTAATATTTATTTATTTTAATCCTCGGGGTTCTATCTATTTTCTTTTTTAATTAAGGCAATTAATTATTATGTTTTAATTTTCCATGTAGAATTATACATAAATACATGAATATACACTATTAAAGAAAGAAATCCGGACCGCTATGAAATACGTCTGGTTTATCGGGGTAGACTCAGGTGAAGTGCGATTTCCATAATTGAACGAATTAATTATGATAATTAATCTCGACATTTAGTAAATCGTACATTGTTTCATTCTCTCAAAATGGCGTAACTATACTTGACAAAGAATAATCTGAGAAATATAATATAGAAGGGATATTTTAACATATGAATTATGATCTATTATAGATATTGAAATGTTTTTGGACTAATTATTGGGAAAAAAATTATTGATAAAGGCGTAAGCAATACGTAGTTATGTGGGTTGTTCGAGAGTTGGTAACGCAAACTAATATAACTGTAGAGTTACACTAAATTGAAGGAATAATCTTTTTATGTATCATCCGGAATTGCGTTAAATTCACGTTCATTCTGGTGAAGTCATTCAGTTTGTTAATACCATTAGGGTGGAATGACTTAAATCTGTGCATCCAGAAGGAAGATTTCCATATACACGCATTTTTTTCATGCCCAAGAAGATCAAGAAGATTAACATGATTAAGAAGATCAATAATTTTGATGTAAATTTTGAGTAATTTAATGTAATACGTAAATTGAGAAATCATAAATAATGAAATAAAATAATTAGAATTTTACAAAGACAATGTTTGTGTGAAAAAGGGGGGCTATATTAATATATTCTTATCGGGTCGGGAGAAAAATTATTATTTGCCTTTTTCTTTATTCTGATAAAAATCATACTCGCTCCAAAATTCTGACCTTGAAAAATATCTTATATACAGTGAATTTTTTTAAAGAAAATGTCCGGTAATTATTTATTACGAAATTTTAATGTGTAACCACTATGAATGAAATCTAAATATATCAGATGTACAAAAGGTTACATGTAATTTATAGATGCGAACAAATGTATTTTTAAACTATATAAAGCATGAATTTTAAAGATATTTAGTTTAGATTTCTTTCGTCAGTTTCACTTGTACACCATTCGATACACTGAAAATCAATTCAACACTCTTTCCTTCCTCTTCTTTTTTGTTTTCTCGTTATAACTTAAGAATAATAAATGCCTTATAACCCACCGTTTAATTAGTTTGAATTTCTCGGGATCGAAAAATCAATGAAATCAATTATTCATGTACATATAAATCTTCGTCGAATGTACAGTTGAATTTTAGAAAATTTATCAATGTTCTCCATTATATCACTGTTTACATGTACAGTGTATATTAAAGCGGGGTCCGCCTCACGCATCACTGCGTAAAGCGGTCCCAGGAAGTGAACACCGGGTTCGCTCTAGCGGACCAAGAGCTGATCCCGAGCAAACGCGGAGAAAACCCGGAGCGCACCCAAAGCGCACCCGGAGCGGTCCCAAAATTTCTGAAAGCGAACCCGAAGCGGACCCCGAGTGAACCCGGGAAGCAAAGCCGGGGTCCGCTCCGGGTTCGCTCTGGTGTTAGGTTGTGTTCGGTCGGTACTGTAGGTCTGATTCCCCCGTCTTTTTCATCACAGTAGGTTTACTAGTATATGCTCATGGGTACATGATTTAAATTTTTTGCAGGTTAATCACAGAGTGTCTCAGAAACATACTGAAATGTGTGCTCAAATGCCATTCCCATCCAACTCTTTGACCAAGAGATGGTACCTCAACCCACCTAAGAACTGTCAATTAGTTATTTAAGAGGTTTTGTGCCATGGATACTCTTCAGTATTTGCAAAGAGCAGATACCCGGTACAATGGGCCATATGTGATAGACCAAAGTCCTTCATTTCTTTCTGTGACTGCAGGAAACATGTACACTGCTTGAACATCTTGAATAATTACAAAATATGCTTTTATCTCCTTGCATATTTTCACAATATATAACTGTTTCCATACTTGTTTACTAAGTATTACGATATGGAACTACAATTTAAATGGATATGATCTACTAATATACTTAGGATCATTTAATTTACGTGACACCTTATTTTTGTGAGAAAGACATTTACTCTTCATTTGCAAGACAAAATTTTCACAAATTGTGGTTCTGCTTTATATATTCTTTAAGAAAACTAATATAAGTGAGAACATTTTTGCGAGCACTCTGTGTCGCATAATTACGCAAAAAATAAAGTTCTCCTGAATAAAAAGTGATTTAGTAAATTTTTTTTGTAATATATATTATGAAAGTTCAGACTAGAATTTGTAATACATGTATATGATATTGTGAATTATCTATTGAGTTCTAAAGTTCTGCTGGACAGGGGTGTGCAATTAGAAAAATTTACTACTAGCCCACGGGCTAGTGGCAGCTATAAAGTTACTAGCCCCAAGTAAAAAGTTACTAGCCCAAATATAGGAGCAAAAATTTAAAATAAAATGAAAGTAATTGTTGAAAAAGTCAGGGTACTGAGGTAATTCCTTTTAAAATTAATGTAATTCTCACTATTAAATTTTAAAATCATGTTTAAACTAGCCCGACCCCAAAAAATGGTAGCTCCGGGCGTCGGGGGATGCTTATTGCACACACCTGGCTGGACAATTGTCTCTAGCTTTGCATAAAATTAGTGCTTCTAGAATTAACCTGTAGTGAAGAAATTTTTCTTAAAAGAGTTATGTGGACAAGAGACATGTGACTATATATTCATAATTATGTCCCTTATCAGCTATTGTGTTTCATGTGCAAAAAAACTGGATGAATACGTTTATTTTTTCATCAGTTAAAAGAGTTTTATGTATTATATACATCTATTTTTTATTTGTCTTAACATCATTCTGTGCCATGCATTATTAAAACTTTCATTTTTTGTAGTACATGTATGATCATTTGCTCTCAATATTTGTACATATTCAAATACATGAAATATTGACATTAATTTTTATATATGGATTAAGTTTTATGAATAAAAGAGTGAATCTGAAATATGTCTTAAATTCTCTGTGAAAATACATTCAAATATGGATTTAATGACAGGGATGTGAAATGGATGGATGATTTTGCCTAATTATAAACATAATTTAATTGCTACCTGTATATCAATTAAGTTTACAATATATTTTAAAGTTTCTGGAATGAAAATCACTTCCCTGTCAGGGAAGTATAAATCGCTAAAAGCGTGTTTTACTGTATATTCTTTATCATCTGAGTTCTCCCATTATGAGCAGCTTAACTACTCTGGGTAGATGAATCATTGGCTGACTTCGATCTTGAACTGTTGTTGAACTAGAGTAACATCGAACCTGATATAGTTTAACTGGAGTGACGTAATTTTCCTACCATAGTTCTACCAACGCAAACACGCGGGTAGAACTATGGTAGAAAAATTACGTCACTCCAGTTAAACTATATCAGGTTCGATGTTACTCTAGTTCAACAATAGTTACTCAAGTTCATGATTGAAGTCAGCCATTGTCTGCTGAATGCCAGTATAGCAAATTTGAGGATTTTTTCTTTATGTATGAAGTGCTTCACTCTAGGACTGATTACCACTGCATGGATAGGCTATGGTTTCACCCCGGCCTCTACTGATTTTTAGCATTGGGAGGGGGAAAAGTAGCACCCACTTAATTGAAATACTGTATACAGGGAAATTTTCGCCCCCGTTTTATTTTCGCCCCTTTCGCCCTACCCTCATCTGGGCGAATTTAAAACGGGGCGAAATCAAAGAATACGGTATAATTTCTTAAACAAAACTATGACTGGGCGAATTTAAAACGGGGCAAAATTGTTTCCAAGTGTGAAAGGGCGAAAATTAGACGGAGCGAAAATAACCCTGTATACAGTAGTTCTTTAACTTGCATGGGGATTGTACATGCAAACAAAGACATATAATAATACTATTATATGTCTCTGATGCAAATACCCGTAAGTGGGTTATCTGAACTAAAAATGATTGACTGGTGTGAAAGGAGCTTAAAAAACTATCAACTGATATTTTCTGTGAAAGAATTGTTAGGTATACCAAACAATCCTGAGATTGCATGGGGAAACCCTTCCTTGTACTTGATTATGTAAAAAAGAAAAACCCATATCAAATGGAGTATGCAACAGTCATTGCCTATACATAACATGTGTAAGCTTTCCCATATCATTTTGTTGGAAAACAAACCTGGAGGATATTTGAAGCAAGCAGTGAGAGAGGTTTTAACAAGCTTTCATATGAGGATTGCATTTTTATTCATCTTTGAGAAACAAAGTGGGCTGAACCTGTTTGAGTACTTTGAAAGTACATTTGTACTAATATACATGTACTATTAGCTCCAGAACTGGACCATTATGGTTTTATGGATAGGCACTTGTCGTTACCTAGTTTTCTTATATAAAAAAAAATAACCCCATATACCTAATGTATTAAGGCTGTTTAAAGTTAATTCTACGTTTAACGTCACATCTAAAGTTCAAAACCTACGAGGGAGGGAGGAAAAAAATAAACAAACAAAATTTTCAAACAATTGTGAATTTATTCAAACTAACCTATTCACTACATTAAAAACATTACAATTAAGTAATAAAGAGCATTTAATTAATATGACACCTAAGATTAATTTCCATAGCAGATTTTTTTTCTTAGTATGTAAATCAGTTTGAGTCCTATTGTTAGCAAACAACGTATTCTAAGACTGAATGTGCAGGAAAGTGACTTTTAACTAGGCCTCAATTGTCCTTTGGATTAATATTGCCACACGTCCATGGTACCCTGGAGGCAAATGCTTCTTCTTATGGGAATAGTTGATCAATATCTACAATTAAAATTATTGATGACAATATTTAAAACTGTTCATGTTGAAATATCTCAAATTGAATTATGTAGTATTTTTTCTTAGTACTAGATCTACTAGCATTAAGTTTTGAAAGTGTGAATATTAATATCTGGACCATAATGATAGCTGTTAGATTATTTTTAATACCTTGAATTCCACACTAAGGACAGGATTCTTCACGTCTTGGAATACCCCAACTTCTTTCCTTACTCTCCTTCACTTGAAAGGCCCTATCTTCGGTAAGCTTCTCCCTGCTCAAATGGTTAAGAGAAGTATTATCTTCCAACAATTGTAGCTATTTGTAGGTACATGAATTATAAAGAAATCAATTACTTTACTCATTACTGTTCCTTTCGATTTTTACAGAAATATTTTTAATACGAAACATATCAAATAAGATTTGAATGATGCTTTTCACGGGTGACTGGAAATTCC